GAGTCCTGGAGGTCGAGGGACGACCCGAAGATCTGAGCAGGCGAGCCATCAGCACTGACCCATCCGGCGTCCGAGAGCGCAGCATCAGACCAGTCCTGCTCGCTGAGGGCAGCCGGGGTCCCGAGGGCGGCATGCGGGGGCGCCCAGTGGGCGCGGTTGGTGTCGCGAGCGTCGACGACCAGGCGGATCCAGCCGCCCTTCTTCTCGACGAAGAAACACCCCACGCGTGACCTGATCCGCCTCCGGAAGCCGACCAGCCCCCGCCCCGCGAGCCTGAGAAGGAAGTCCCGCCGAAGGCCGGCGTCGCTGGCAAGCCGCGCGTCCCAGTGCGGCTTGATCGGCGGCAGGAGCTCGAGGTCCTGCTCCACCACGCGGTCCGGCTTGCGGATGTAGGCGTCGGGGTCGCGGAAGGCGTCGACGACGAACTTGGGGCAGACCTCCTCCACGTCTCGAGGCGTGACCGAGGACTGCCAGAACTTGAGCTTGGACTCCTCGTGCGGGACGACCTTGGACGGCGCGCCTCCGTAGAGCGAGTCGGACTTGAGGAGCTCCTGAAGGGCTCCGCGAGGGTGGAGATCTGCCGGGCGAGGGCCATACTCCGCCACGCAGCGGCCGAGCTGCCGGCCGCGCGAGGACGAGGTCGCCGTTCCCGAAGTCCCTGAATCGGCAGCGCCACCTGGCCCGCGGCCACGATGGCGCACCGTGCAGGCGGCGAGACAGTTGATCGAGTGAACTGCCTCACGAACACGGTGTTCACGAGAGCGTCGCTGGAGCACCCGCTGGCGCAGGTACCGCGGCGCCCCGCTGAGGTCGACCGGCGGGCCAGGCCCCGGGACCGAAAGCGGCAGCGGGTCCCCGTGCGAGGAGCGTGATCCCGATGCCATGGGGAGGACGAGGAGGCGGCCGCGGCGGAGGAACCCGCGGCGGCAGCCAGGCAGGGCGGGGCGCCGCAGGACGCCCAGCCCAAGGAGGGGGCCGGCCGGCCCCCTGCTACTTGCCAGCGTCGGCCCCGCCGCCCTTCGGCCCCTTCGGGGGCGCCTTGGGCTGCGCGGCCGCCCTCTCCTCCTGCCACTGCCGATTCGCCTTCATGGTCTGGGCGCGGGCACGCGCCTGGTCGCCAACCCATCCGTCGAACTCCGGCAGCACCATGCCGCCCGTGTCGTCGACCCCCGTGTCGAGGATGAGGTCCAGCCCCTCGAAGTCGGGAGCCCGAGGGTTCTTGCGGGTCGCCGACTCCAGCTGCTTGAGCCGCCTGACGAGGTACTCCGCGCCCGCGATGTTGAACAGGTCGAGCTGATCGAACTGCTGCATCATTCGAAGAGACACGCAGATCATGTGGTGCTCGCGGGCGACGTTGCCGCGCTCGGCCACGCCGCTGCGTCGGAGCCACGTGGTGTGGTGCTCCTCCCAGTTGCCCTGACCCCCGTCGCGAAGGGAGAGCACAGCCTCCCTCGTGGCACGGCGGCCCTGCAGAGGCCAGCCCGGGATCGTCGCCTCCTTCATACGGCGGACCGAGTCCCGGAAGTCGATATACCTGCCTCCGCCCTGGTCCCTCTCGTCGCCCACGACACGCGGGTCCGGGCCCGCGCCCCCGCGAGCTCGGGCCAGGTACGTGTCGAAGTTCTGGCCCTCGCTCACCTTGATCGCGTGGACCCAGACGTCGTCGAGCCGAACGAGCCCAACATCCCCACGCCGCACCAGGACCTCCTCGTTGGCGAGGACCTGGGGCGGCACCTCCTCGCCGAAGTGCGACGAGGTGGGGTCGCTCACGTACCACTTGTCCCCCGGGAGGCCCACGACGCCGGCGAGGTCGAAGCCGAGGATCGTGCCCAGGGCCCTGGCCTCCTCGAGGTAGCCCTGCATGTCCTCCGCCGCCACTTCGTCGAAGGCGTAGATGTTCCCAGCATGCCGTGCTGGGAACGGGCCCGACCGCCGAAGGGCCAGCACTCGAAAGGTGGCCAGGTCGACGAAGGCCACCTCCCCGTCCGGCGTGAGCCAGATCCACTTCTGGGCATCTCCCTTCACCAGCAGCACACGGTGATGCCACTGGAAGTTCTCGTCGTCCTCGTACCTGACGAGGCACTGGCTGAACGGCGTGTCCAGCGCACGGGCCATGGCGGCCCTCAATCAGCACGAGCGCCAGGAGCCCGCCGGCCACGCCCGAGAGCCGACGGCGTCGCCACGTGCGTGCCGCCGCCGTCGTCCTCGACGGCGAGGGCGCGCGCTCGCACCGCCGGCCGACCCGGCGATCCCGCCGCCAGCCAGGCCGCGGTCGCCAGCCCAGCGCCAAGGGCCACGCCCACCACGGCCGCGCCGCAGAGGTCGAGCCCCGTGTAGTGCCCAGGCGGAAGCGGGCACGGGGGGCAGGGCTGGCACGCGACCCCCTGCAGGTGCTCCGGGCCGCAGCGCGCCAGCTGCTCCCGGAGGATGGCCACCAGGCCGTCGGTCGTGTCCGAACCCTCGAACACGCAGCGGCAGGAGACCTCGGCGACCCCGCTGCGGCCAGGCCCAGTCCAGCGCTCGGAGAGCGCCCCGAGAACCCAGCCGCCTGCAGCGTGCACCCAGGCGGCCATGAACCGTTCACGGCAGAAAGGCTTGAGGGGAAGAGGCAGCGGGAGGGGAGAAAGCGAATGCACAAGCGATGAGACCAAATGCAATTTCCGCACAGTGGTCACCCAACCGGCGCGCATCGGCCTGCACACGAAGCAATGCGTCTTCAGCGCCCATTCCACGAGGGATGCTTATCAAAACGTGTTTCCCCGCCTTCATCAAGTCGAACCGCTCACCATGAAGGTTTTGAAGGTGGGGGTCGCCAGTGGCAGCCACGCCGGCGCTAGCTCCGCCCGCCATGGGAGCTGCAGGCGGAAACGTCGGATGTGGAGTCGGCCAACCAGGAGGATACGTCGGGCTAGGAGTCGGGCTGGGCGTCGGGAAGGCCGTCGGGTATGCCGTGGGGAAAAGCGTGGGGAAAGGCGTCGGGAAGGACGTCGGGAAGGCCGTCGGGAAGGCCGTCGGGAAGGCCGTCGGGAAGGCCGTCGGGAAGGGCGTCGGGAAGGCCGTCGGGAAGGCCGTCGGGAAAGAAGTCGGGAAGGGCGTCGGGTACGGCGTCGGGTACGGCGTCGGGTACGGCGTCGGGTACGGCGTCGGGTTCGGCGTCGGGCTCGGCGTCGGGTTCGGCGTCGGGTTCGGCGTCGGCTTCGGCGTCGGCTTCGGCGTCGGGTAGGGCGTCGGGTAAGGCGTCGGGTAGGGCGTGGGGTAGGGTGTCGGGTATGGCGTCGGGTAAGGCGTCGGGTAGGGCGTCGGGCTGGGCGTTGACGCTACGCCCTGGCACACCACACCGTGAATAGAATTCCCCGTTTGCCAATCGTGCCACCAACCGTCAGAAAGGTACGCAATCTTTGTCTCGCTGTAACCAGTGAGCCCGTCGTTCAGCGGACTGACGTAATCCCATGGTGTGCCGTCTCTCCACGACCAGGTGCCGGCTCCGTTGGACTCAGCGCCGATGTACGCGCTGCATCCCTGAGATTGAAGCAAGCTCAAGACCGCGTTGTTATCGGCATTGTTGTGGATACTGGCGATGGACAATCCCTGCGACTGGCAATATGCCACCTGGTTGTTGTAAGTGCGACCTGTGCAGTCGACCGTGAACGCCGATCGCTCAGCCTCCGTGCGGAGAGTCTCATGGGTGCTGATGTTCACTCCCGCGCTGATGGAAGTCGCGGTGGGTAGGCTGCAGAGAAGCGGCACCACCCAGCGCAAGGTCAGGCATGCCTTCTTGACTGCCATCCGACGGAACGGCACAAGAGGAGATTGCCTGCGTGTGCGATATACAACGTGTATGTGTATGCGGATTGCACTACAGAAGCCTGAGCCGCAATGCTTGAGCCAAAATGGCTACGGAAGGCTGGGCTTGCACTGTTGGATACCGTTCGTGCGACAATGGCATGCCGATCAGTTTCGATTCAGGTGGGAGGATCAAAGGCACGCGCACAATGCCACGGAGCCACTTCAAGAACGGCTGCCCGACTCTGCTGCTACGTTTGATTCAACCGCTCGGAGATTGGAAAGGGTCTACAGCCAACCCGCATCATAACGATGCGCAGTAAGATACAAGGGCCTTAGCAGGCCATCTCGAAGCTTTTCGAGCGGGGCGCGGCCAGCGAAAGTGGCCAAGGATGGACCGAGGAGGCAAGGATACAAGGGTATCCCTGGGAAGGTTGCCCATCCTTATCATGCGGGCTGACTGTTCTTGTCGCAAATTCTGCGCCCGCCCAGGGCGGCCCAGAAGGCTCCCGAAGGGGGCCTGGAGCCGGCCCAAGGAGGGCCCCAGTGGACGTCCGAGCGGCCCCCAGGGCGGACACACATCGCCCAAGAGGCCCCGAGAGAGGCTCAAGAGAGGCCCAACAGGGGGGGGGGGACGCGCAAGGACCCCAGGAGCCCTGCCCCGCAGGAGTGCGCCCAAGGCCCCCAAACGTGACCCCGAGAGGACCCCAAGAAGCTCCCAAGTGCCAAGCCTCCTGCGAAAAACTCGCGAGAATCCGGGTCTCCCGCAGCAGAAATCGCGAGAGCTCGGGCTTCCCGCGATAAAAAAAACGTGAGAATCCAAGCCTCCCGCGACACATTCGCGAGTCTGGGCCTCCCGCAAACAAAAATCGAGAGTCTGGGCCTTCTGCGGAAAATTGCTCTCAGAGGCCACCCCCCAGGCCTCCAAGAGGTCCCCAAGAAGCCCAGCAACAGACTCGGAGGAAGAGGAGGACGAATCAGCAACGGCTTCACGCTTGCAGCAAGACTGAAAATGGTAAACAACACACGAACTCTGAAGCCGCACATTCCCTCTTTTGGGAATCGGCGGAATGGCGTACGCCTCTTGAAGAATGATGCATCCAACGCATGACGGCATGAGCTCGACAACACGCACAACGTAAAAAGATGTAACAACCAGATCAAGGGTTCTTTCGCGACGACTTCAGCATGCCCCCCCGTCTTCCTACCTCTCCCATTTTCCGAGGAGCGGAGCGCTGCGCGGAGAAGCACTACCCTCGTGAGGACCACGGCAACCTGACGCCCATGGCACTCGGCAGTTCTCCACGCCCTGCCAGCACTGCCCGCGGAACTCTCGCCGTGGAAGATCATTCGATCAGTGGCGGAGGCCATGCAGGGTGAAACGTTCGAGACAAAGGCGCATGTGAGGGGCAACGTTAGGGGGGACCGGCTCCAGGGGGAACCATCGACCTGGAATCAGCGATACAGCGCCAATAGATCCGATAGGACCCCGAGAGTAGGAGGCCTCCTAGATGGGGTCCGAGTAGCTGGGGTCGGAGGATCTCGCCGCATCGCCGATACGTACATCGGGGATGCATCGGCGATGCATCGGTGATGCACCGGCGATGCATCGTCGACGTCGGCGATGCATCGGTGACATCGGCGTGGGGAAACACGGGCTCCACATCGAGCCGCATCGTCGATGCATCGGCGATGCGGCACGATCCTCCGACCCCACCTACTCGGACCCCAACTAGGAGGCCTGGAAATAGCAAATCCGCACGCTCAGGCACCTATCAGCGACGTTTGGTCGGCTGGGGGTCGAAGCGTCCACCACCCGATATGGGCGTCGCGCCAGGAGGGGGGGTGAGAAGGGGCGGGCCGTCTCAGAGGGCTCGGAAGTCCCCCAGCCTTCTGAGAAGTTTGCTTAGCCTTCCCTAGAGGCCTCCTGGATGGGGTCGGAGTAATTAGATGGGGTCGGAGTCGCATCGCCGATACATCGGCGATGCATTGGCGATGCATCGGCGATGCATCGGCGCCGTCGAGCTCCAAATCGAGCCGCATCGCCGATGCATCGGCGATGCGGCGCACTCCTTCGACCCCGTCTAATCGGACCCCATCTGGGATGGCCCAGATTCCCCGAAGACGCGGCGCAACCTCCTCGGAGGGCGCGAGGGCCTCTGAGAGGCCCCGCCGCCTTCCGAGAAGGCCTTCTCCTTCTCACTTCCCCCCCCTCCTCCTCCTCCTTCCTCCTACTCCTTCCTCCTCCTCCTCCTCCTCGCCGCCGACGACAGGCACCAGGAGAAGCGACACCACCACCACCACCACCACCACCACCACCACCACCACCACCACCACACCACCACCACCACCACACCACCACCACCACCACCACCACCACCACCACCACCACCACCACCACCACCACCACCACCACCACCACCACCACCACCACCACCACCACCACCAGGGACCACCAGGGACCACCAGCAGGAGCTGGGCGGGCCCCCCTGGCCGTGCGGCCTCCCCCCCCCTCTCGCTCGAGACTTCCCAAACCCGGTGCCCCCGGCTGGTGGAAGGCCTCGCGAGCCTCCTCGCTGGAGCTGGCCCGCCTGCTGGTCCTCCTCCTCCTCCTCCTCCTCCTCCTCCTCCTCCTTCTCAAGCAACTTGGGCTCGAGCGCCATTTTGGCATCCGACGCCCAACCTCGCGCCTCCACGTGGTGCTTGGGGGGCTGCGCACCTTCTGTCCACCCTTTCGGACGGCCAGTTGCGTAGGCGAAAGCGAGGCTTCGCCCGTAGACCCATGGCCAAGGCATGGAGTACATGTGCGAAGTGTGTGGCGTACGAGTACAATGAGAGGATAGTGGCCAACTCGGGGAAGTGCACCAAGTGCCATTGTCCAGTCAAGCTGTATAAGCCGAAGAAAGGTCTTGCATCCTCGTCCACTCAGCCAACGTTGCAGAACGTTAAGGGGTCGGTCGGGTCTCAGGCGACTTCGGCTACATCCACCATCCAAGCGCTGTCCGCCGCGATGGCCGGAGTGACCGACCCAGCCAGTCGCAAGGTGCTCGCCGAGCAGATCGAGGTTGCGGAGCGCGGGGCCCAGGCGGCAGAGCAGCCGCTCACGGTCTCGCCGAGTGAGGCAGTTCGACGTGCCGAGGGCGCGTGGAAGGACGCAAAGCAGAAGCACGTGCAAGCGAGTGCAGCCGTCTCCCGCTGCCAGGAGAATCTGGTGGCAGCGATGAGGAAGGAGGAGGAGGCGGCGCGCACGCTGGCCATGGCAGAGATCAGCAAGCGCACGGCCGCGGTGGCCCTGGCTCGCGAGGCGGGCGTGGACGTGCACGCCGCGGGCGGCGCTGGCGGCGGCGGCACCTCTGGCGGAGGAGGCGCCGACGTCGAACAGGCGCCGATGATGAACGTCACGTGGGATGAGGAGTTTTTCAAGCAGCTCGACACCCTCGAGTGCACGGAGGGCGAGAGAGCTGAACTCAAAAAGGTTGAGGCGGAGCTGAAGGCGGTCAGGGACAGCGTCATCAGCAAAGCCGACGAGGTGCAAAAGTGGAAGACCCAGGTGCTCGACCTCAGGGCGAAGGTCAAGGAGCGCTTGGACAAGAAGAGGAATATCGACGGCGGCATCAGCGGCGCCGCCGTGGGCGGCGCGGGAGGCGGCGGCGGCCAAGGGCAGCCAGTCGCTGCTGCGGCCCAGCCAGCAGCCCAGGGGGCTCGGCCTGGCACGCCGTCCGAGGACGAGATCAATATCGAGATGGAGCGCATCAGGGCGGCTACTGCGGCTACTGCAGCTGCTAAGGCGGCCGCCCAGGGGGCTGCTGGTTTGGCTCCAGAGGCGGGCAAGGCGGAGGCGCCGCAATGAGGCGGCGCGGCGGCTGCAGGTCTTTCGGCGCCTGCTGCCACCCAACCGCTCGAGCCGTTCGCGGAGGAGCAGTCCACCAGCGAGGACGACCCTTCCGCGTGCATGTTCTTCAGCAACGTCACCATGCTGGGCAACAAAACCTGGAACTATGTCAGTTCCGAGGCTACGTTGGCCAAGTACGAGTACATCGGCATGGTGGAGTCTCACATCGGGGCCCACACCAGGGCCAAGTGGGCTCGTCGAGCTCGGGCTGCCAAGCTCAAGTTCCTTGACAATCCAGCGAGATCAACTGGTCGAGGCACCTCGAAGGCGACGGAGGGGCGCGCGTACGAGGGCGGGGAGATCATGTTGGCTCGTGGTCATCTGTATGTTCATCGAGTTTTTGACAAGCCGCGTGAGGGCGCCAGCAGTTACTGTGCCGAGGGCTCAGACGCTCTCGATGGTTTCGTGCCAATTCTAATGCATCTGTGTGGCTTCTCGCTGCTTGTGGTACTGTTTTACGTACATCCGTCAGTTGAATTCTCGGGTATTAACCCAGCTAGCTTTACCAAGTTGGGAGCATTTTTGTCTTCTGCGAAGCTTCCGTGGCTCGTCATAGGTGATTATAACATCGATGTTGCAAAGTTTCAGAGGTCAGCGTTTTGTCGCCGCGTCGGAGGCGTGATTCGTCGGGCTGATGTGGAATGCACATTCGTCGGGGGTGCAGGTAGTTCTCACATCGATTTCGTCATGGCGTCTGAGTGCTGTCTTCCTTACATTCGCAGTATCACCCCAGTAGTTGACACGCCATGGGCTCCTCACATTGGGCTTGAGCTACGACTGAGAGGCTCAGGCGAACAGTTGCTAAGCAGATCGTTGCTTGTCGCTCCCAGGTTGCCGCAAGTGCCTAGGCCGTCTGCTGCGCCCACTGCTGGGCCCAAGTCGAGCGCGAAGAAGCTCGAGCAGGCCGAGCGAGCCCAGAAAAAGAACGAGCGTCTGATTAGTGAATGTGATCTGCTGTACGGTGACATTTTCGGCAACACGTCTTCCCCCGAGCCTCTCGACCCTAGTGATCTCGACCCTTCGGCTAGCGGCCCCGTGGGCTTTTCGTGGCAGGTCGATCCTCTTGGGGAAGAAGGCTTCGAGGGGCTTTTTGAGGCTGATGAGGAGGACCCCTGGGCCAACGAGTCCTCTTTTCAGCCTGCACCTAGGGTCTCTGAATCTCTAAGCAGCCCTCCTGCAGGCGCGCCCGAGGCGACACAGGCTTCGTCGGCGGCGTCTGGGGGTGCAGCAGCAATTCGGAGTGAAGGCAATGGTTCTCCCCCCCCCCCCCCCCCCCCCCCCCCCCCCCAGCCGAGCGTCCTCGGAACGACGGTCCCCTGGAGGGGGTCAGCGATCACCTCACCTGTGCTGATGCCGCTGCCTCTCCTGCTCCTCTCCCGTCTTTCTCTATCTCCCCTCCTCGTGGGTAGCCGCTTTGGCTCAAGTCCCTTGGACTGCACGCTCTATTCACGATGTTTGGCCTCCTATTCGTCAGTCTCTCGCTTTCCAAGCTGGCGCACAACATGTTCTGCCCACCAGTGGGGCCTTCTCGCGATGGGTCCAGGCCACGGAGCTGGCCATCTCGTCTCATCACGAGATTGGAGCTCCTGAGCGGTCTAGGGCAGGCGGCTGTGATCTGCAGGTGGTCTCGGCGAGGCAAGCTGAGCACATTCGTCAAGAGCCGTTGCGAGACGGCATTTCTACATGGTGGTCAAGGATTCACAATATTGTTCAGAGAGTGCTACGACATCGGGGGCGCAGCAACGGCATCGTGCAACTGGGCTACCTAGCGTCGGCTTCCGTCAGGTTGGCTGACCAGCCAGTGGACGGAGCAGGCGCAGCCTTCCCTGCGCACTTCGGCTCGTGGCAGGGTTTTTTTGCAGGACCCCAGGCGATTGCTCGAGCTCAGCGTCGACGAGCCCAGCAGGTTGGAGGAGAAGACTTTCAGAGCGTCCAAGAGGGCGCAGAATCGTGCTGCGGCCTCGTCATTGAAGGATTTCCAGCACTGGTTCAGCAGCCTCGATTCCCAGGGGCAAGTTTTCAGATCGCCGAAGGACCCAGATCCTGAGCGTGACGAGTTTCACGACATCGACGGCTCGGTCAGAGTTCATCCCATGGATATTGTGGACCGCAAGGTGCTACGCTATCACAAGCTGTGGCACTCTGAGGTGGCTTCTTAGGATGGGATCTTGGCTACCGTGAGTACGGTCAGGAGCAGAGCTGAAGTGGAGCAGCTCGTTCCACTGGACGTTGCGGATGTTCGTGCGGCTCTATCGCGCATGAAAGCTCGCGCAGGCCTCGGGATCGACAGGCTTCCCCGACCGACATAGAGAGGCTGCCCGATGAGGGCATCCAGTGCCTCTGCGACCTCTTCCATATGATCGAGGAAGGCCTCTCTTGGCCATGACAAGTCATGTGCGTGGTGGGGGAGCTGCTAGGCAAGAAGTCGGGCGGCGACAGAGTGATCGGGTTAATCGCGACGCTGTGCCGTGTCTGGTCCATGGCCAGGGAGGTGCAGATGAAGGAGTGGTCCGCCCTGCAGGCGGAGACGGACCACTGGGGCGCCGCCATCGCGGGGAACAGCGCCCTGCGGGAAACGTTCGTGCGGGCGTTGCAGGACGAGGTCCATTCGCGCCTGGACATACCGCACGGTCAGACGGTGGTCGACATTGCGTCGTTCTACGACTCCATAGAGTGGGAACCTTTGATCTTGTGTGCCATGCGCAAAGGTTTTCCCGCCGTCATATTGCATCTGGAACTTCAGATTTGCCTGGCGCCGCGCATGCTGGAGCAGATCGACTCGTTCAGCGAACCGTTCCAGGTGACTCGTTCAGTGGTACAAGGGCTGCGGAACGGCACGAGGTTTGCCAAGTGCCTCACAGCCTACGTGTGCCAGCGCCTCTGTCAGGCACATGTTCCATTATCAGAGCGAATCTGGATAGATGATTTATCTCAGAGGGTCATGGGCTCGAGACAGCATGTCAGGTCCACGCTCATCAAGGGAGTTCTCTCGACCATCAGGCTGTTCTCCAAGTTGCAGTTGGCTATTGTTTTGTGCTCGCACCACAGTGACGCGCAAGTGGCCGAGCGCGTCCTCAAGAGGAAGGGAGTCACTCTGCGAGCCGTGCCGCAGACCGCCTACCTCGGGGTGGATCTGTCCTGCGGCAGGCGGCACGGTCGAGCGACCGTCAGGCAGCGGGTGCTCAAGTCCAGCAAGACGCACGGGCGGCTGCGGAAGCACGCTCAGGCCGCTCGGCGCTGGGCGGTGTCCGCCAAGCTGCAGCGTGCAGGGCCGCAGGCAGCCGCCGTCTACGGGCACCGCGTGTACGGGCAGTTCGGTTCGGTGCTGCAGTCGCAGCGCCGTCGTCTTGGCGCTGCCGCGGGGTCAGCCGAGCGCTGTAGGTGTCTCACGACGCTGCTGGCGCTCAGGCTCCCAGGTCACGATCCTGGAGTGCGTCTGCCGCGGCAGTGCTTATCGCAATGGCTGAGTGTGTGGCTGACCGGCCCTCAGATCAGGCCAGCCATCGTGCGGGCTTGGCCGCGGGCAGTCGCTCACCTTTCCAGTTTACCAGTGGGGCAGCGAGCACGTCGCGTTCGCGGCCCCATGACGACAGTCATCATGTACCTGCTTGAAGCGGGCTGGAAGCCGATATCTCCGACGGAATGGGAAGTGCCACACGATGGATCTTCGATGACGCATTCGTGGATGTTTCACGGGAGCGATTTCGAGGCTCTGGATCAAGCAGAGCCCCTTCTGGACGAGCTTCAGCGGACAAGGGAGCTTCAGCAGTGGCGGGCAGCAGCTACGCATTTCTGCGGCGACGGAGTCGCAGACGGTGTGAACATGGTTTCGCTGCAGGCCATGATTTGCGAGTTGCAGGATGTCAAACAGGGTAGGCAGCTATCGGAGTTGCTTGTTTCCATCGCCACGGAAGATTTCTGGACGCGTGAGAGGAGCTTCCAGGCCCACCTATGCAGTTCATCAGATTGCCTTCGGTGCGGGCAAGGTCCAGAGACAGCTTTGCACAGGTGCTGGACATGTGAGGCGAACGCCAGCTCTGCGTCTAAGGCCTATGCTGATTCAAACGATCTTATCACTCAAGCTGTGTCAGAGTCTGATGCGTTTTCGTGTTTTTGGATGCGGGGCCTCATCCCTTCTTCCTGGACCTCTGTCCCTCCTCCCGCCTCCGAAGAGGCCATCGTCGGGGGCAATTGGCTTGGTGGCTCCTTGGAGGAGGGCTGTCTGGGGATAGGCACCACGAGGGAGCCCCTGGTCCTGTTTGGGGACGCGTCGGGGGGGAAAGACACCCACGACTCTAGGCTCCGTAGGTTAGGCCTGGCCGTCGCGAGTGTTAGGAGCTATGACCCTCCCACTCTGGGTCCTTTCTTGATGGGGCCGCTCCCTGGGCCCTCTCAGAGTGTCCCTAGAGGTGAGCTTCTGGCGTTCCTTTGGGCCCTCAGATTCTCCGTAGGTGTTATAGCTTACGTTACAGACTGTGCTGAAGTAGCTAGGGGTTGGTATTCTGAGCTTTTTCGTCGTCCTGAGGGGCCGCAACCCGACCTTTGGAGAGAGGTCGGCAAGCTCCTTCTGCGACAGGCTCGGCACCCTGACAGTGTAATCATCATGCAGGTGCCCTGGCACCTCAGCCCACGGGAGTACCTCGCTCGTGGGATTCCGAGTTGGCTTGTGATAGGTAATGCATGCGTCGACGTCCTTGCTGGAGAATCGGCCGCGCACGCGCGGGTTTCCCAGGCCAGTCACCGTGTCATGTCCATCGAACACAAAGCCTTGTTGGTTCGGAGGAGGCTTTTGCGTGTAGGGCTTGATTCTATCAAGGCCGCCCAGGTGTCGGGGGAAGCTGGGGCCTCAGCTCGGGCTGGCCCACCTCCCCCTCCTCCTCCTCCTCCTCCTCCTCCTCCTCCTCCTCCTCCTCCTCCTCCTCCTATTGCCATTGCACGCTTCGCGTCTGCCCACTCCCTGACCGAAAGTGGTAGGGCGTGTAGTGTGTGTAGAGGCTCTTCGACCAAAGCGGTGTTAGCGGAATGGTAAAAAGTGACTGCTTCCAACTCCAGCATGTGAATAGCCAGATTGCACGTGTTCCGAGAGGACGGCGTTTACACTTGGCTGGGGGTTGGACCCATCCCACTCACGCTTTGATTTATCATAAAGACCTTCAGTTGTGGTATTGCGGTACGTGCGGTTTCTTCGGTCAAGCCCAGCTCAGGGGGCTAGCGGAACCGTGCAAATTACCCATCTCGAAGGCCAGGCGCGAATATCTCGACAGGATCGAGCGCGGCCTGTTTCCTAAGTGCAAGAGCTGAGCTTCAAGCCTAGTTTTCACTACGTGAAGGCGGAAATCCTGGAAATCCTCCCCCATCTCCTCCAGCTCCTCCATTTCCTCCTCCTTCTCCTCCTGGTGGTGGTGGTGGTGGCGCGTCTCCTTCGGGGATCTACTGACCCGGGTCAATCCAGACCCAGGTCAGTCAGGCTTTGCAGGATCCTGCAGGATCCTGCGAGATCCTGCGCCCAAGTCCAGGCCAATGCAGTTCTGGCTCTGCAGGATCCGGCTGCAAAACCTTCGAGATCTGACGAGCACGCCCGCACACCTGCGCCCTCCTACCCCCCCCCCTCTTCTCGTTGCCCCTGAGCAAATCCGCGGCGAGCCTGGGGGGGAAATGGGACGGGCCGGGCCTTCTCAAAGGCTCGGAAGTCCCCCAGCCTTCGGAGAGGTTTCCTGAGCCTTCCCCGAAGACACAAAACATCTATCAGAAAGCCCGAGGGCCTCTGAGAAGCCCCGCCGTCTTCTGAGAAGGCCTTCTCCTTCTCACTCCCCCCCCTCGCTAGACGCCGAATCCCTCCTCCTCTCGTTGCCCCTGAGCAGGGCAACCGACCGGGACGGCATACAGAAAGAGCAGGGCCGAGCACGGCGGGCTCGCGCGGCGAGGACGCGTCGGCGCCAGCCGCCGATGCCGCGCGGGTCGTCCGACCTCTGAGCGACTGCGGCTCTCCCGAATGCAGGCCGTTCGGTGTCGGCCGGCTCCGGACAAGTGGCTGCAAGTCGGGGATGTATCCACATCCACCGCCTGGGGAACCTACAGCCTACAGCAGGGGCTCGACCACAAGGAACCTTCCACAAAAAACCCAACCCTGAGACCCCAGGACCTCCGTTGAGTTTTGGCGGGGACGTCACGCGCTCCATCGCAAGTCCACCGAAACCGAAGAGACCCAGGGCACCCCGGAGGCGAGCAGGGCGTCTCTTGGCGCGGGTCTCCACTGCAGGTCGCCCAACTCTGCGAAGCGCGCCCCCGCGCTGCGAAGCGCGCCCCCGCGCTGCGAAGCGCGCGGTGATCTTCGCACCCTCGCGTCGCCGCCCCGGAGAGCGGCGCCTCTCTGGCTCGGGCCGCGACGCGCGACGCGCGACTGTCTTCGCGCCTCCGCGGGTGGCCCGGGCTACTGGCGCCCCGGGGCCCCAGCGGACGGTGGATATGAATATGTGCCGGCTCCAGGGCCCTCGAATAGATCAATTCGAGCAGGGACCTAGAGCTAGGCCTACCACAGAAATGCTGTAAGAACCACAGCAGTGTTCTTAGAACGTAGACCCGATGCACTAACACAAGCCAGTCCCAGCCAGAAATGTTCGAAGAACATGTCGTAGAAACCACGAAAGGTTCTCAGAGCATTTCTTGCTGGCCCTATAGGCAAGCCAGGACGCTTCGCCACTGCTCGAATGAATATCCACCGCCTGCCGAGGTGCCCGACCGAAGATCGATCCCCCAGGCGGTGGTTATGGATAATCCCCACGTCGGACTGGCAGCGTTCAGCCTTGAACGCCCTCGCTGGGGTCGTCGCCGCGTCAACGTGGCAAGAGCCCGCCGTACCGTGGAGGTGGGCATGGAACCAGAGGTGCAAGTGTGCACCAGTTCTCCTACAAGACAAACGTCAATGATGGGACCCCCACTTGCCGAACGCATCTGCGCGATTCGGCGTTGGGGAGGTGCCAATTCTGACAACATACATCCAATTAAGCCTCCTGCTTTTGTATGGGTCAGCTGTTCCTACTCCGGACTCTGGTGGGTCATCCAAAAGCAGTGCTTTCAATTACGGGTTCTTATTTGTTCCTATCAAGAACTGGGCCTGACAGCTGCTCTGGCGGCCATGTGATCGCCATCGCCGCGCCGTCGCGGCCCGACATCTAGGTCTCACGGCCGGCCTAGCGGTTATGCAGTCGCCGTCATCGCCCCGTCGCCGCCTCGTCGGGGCCTGTCGTCTGGGTCCGACGCCGCCTCGTCGCCGCCCGTCGTCTGGGCCTGTCTGTCGGCTCGGCGGCTATATTGTCGCTGTCGCCGCCACGTCGTCTGGGCCTGTCTGTCGGTCTGGCGGCTGCGTTGCTGCCGTCGCTGCCCCGACGACGCCTCGTCGCCGCCATATAGGTTCCCCTTTTTCAACAAATCTTTGGGTCGACCTTCCAGAAGTAATGACACCATTTCCGTATTGCGATTTGCATTTGGGTCTGCCTCGTTGCCCGTCCTAAGTCTGAGCTCGTATCATCCCAGCTGAGTTGGCCCCCCTCCTTTCATCTTCAGCAGCATATCCTATGCGCGTGCGCTCGTTCATCAAAGCTCATCAGTTTAAAGGACTCCCTTGCGCAAGGCGGGACGAGATGCACACGCGCACGTTTTCGCGCACGCATGCCAGAATACTTCACAAACCTTGGGGTTCGAAAGGATGTCAAAATCGAGCCTCCCGACAACATAGCAAACATACATAGGGTGGCACCTTTTTTTGTCAAAAAACCTGCGGTCGCGCCATGGTGGGTTCTTCAACCAAATGTGACTTTCAACCCTGACGAGCCCCTCGCGCGCGCAAGTCGAAAATCGTTCGAACGCCCTTGCGCGCGTGATGTCGCATAACGCCATTGCAAAAACGGGATGAAATGCGCGCGCGTCGTCGCGCGCAGGCAAGATTTCTTAAAAAGAGAGTTTGGTTTCGTTGCGGTTTCAATATCGATTGTCCCGAAATCATACAAAAAACATATGGTTTTGCAACATCAGTTTCCCCCAAACAGAAATCCAGCGCTCGCGCTCTTGCAGATTCGGATGAACACCATTGGTTTTCAATTCTCTTAAATTCGGCCAAACGGGCCTCCCGCGCCGCATGTCGAAATCATTCGGACGCCCATGCGCGCGTACTGGGAAGGGGTGTGGGGGGGGGGGGGGGGCACGATCCGCATCAAATAATACAGTGCGGGCCACTCTCGCGCGTCGGCCACGCGCGCGTGGAACTCTTTCCAGAACCTTCATCGCCGACGCAAAAACGCCGTCATCGTCGTCGGCGTGATCAGCATCGGGGCCGCCACTGGACTTGGCGTCGTCGTTGTCACTATCGGCACCAACATTGCTACCATCATCGCCGTGCCTACCATTGTCGACGTTGCCATGGTACCGCGCCCGCCCAAGTCGCTGACTCGCTATGAAGTGCCCGCTGGGAAGTGCCCGACGGTCAGCGCCACCGCGGTCGCGTCGGCCGCGCCAAACTAAGTGGCTGCTGCGCGCGCGAGCATGCGCGGGCTTGCGCGGCCGTGGAAATGCACCAACCAATGCTACGCATGCGTCGACATCGCCGCAGCATGGGTTTTGCTAACAAAATTGCGGGTGGGTGGGGCGATGAATGCGCGGGCAGTGAAGTTGGCAACTCGTTGCGGACGAAAACTCACTGCGCCGCGTAGATCGCACACCATCGATTGCACCATATAGATATATCTATATATATACATACAAGCTATACTTATAAGTAAATTTTTATACAAGAACCACGCGCGCGCTTCGCGCTACCGCTGCCACCCTTACCACCGCGTCTCCCTCCGAGGCATCCACTGCCGTTTCTGCGATGGCGACGGCCGCGGCCACTATCGCTCCATCGCCAGCATGCGCATGACAGCCTCCGCCGCGACGTCTGTATTACAACGACCACGGTGCAAACATTTGCTGAACCCCTGCGTGCGAGACGACCGCTGCGGCTTCCACTGGTCGCTGCTATCGCCGCGAAAACGCCGCTGCCACCATCGCCGCTTCCACCGCCGCCGCCGCGACTTTATCAACCATCGCCAGCGCCGCCGCCGCCGCGCCCAAGTTCCCTGCAGCGTCGCCTGCTGCCCCTATTGACAGCAGATATGAATCTGCGCCTCTTCAAGGTACCTTCGGAGATCTCCTCGGCCCATCTGCGTTGGCACCGAGGCCATTCGGGCTGTCTTGGGGCAGTTCCGGCTCTCTTCGAGCGCTGTCAGACTGTCTGGGGCCCCCAGGGTTCCCCTCTGATTTTTTGAAGGGGCCAGAGCCAGCGTTCGAAGCGCATTTAGCCATCCCGGGCGCCTCGCGGCTGCTCCAGGAAGCGCAGGGATGCCCTCGAAAGACGGAAGCCGAAGGACAAACTTGTCTTAAATCAGAAACTTCCTGGGTGTTTGTTAGGATCCCGTGGGGGGCTTCTCGGGGGCCTCCTGGAAGCGCGTTCGAAGGTTTCTGGAAGCCGGTGTGCGGCGTCGGGCGCGCCTCTTGAGAACCTCCGGGGCCTTGGTTGCAGCTCGTGGAAAGCCTCGTGGGGGCCTCTTGAGGCCGTTCGGGGCGGGGCGCTCGGAATTCGGGGTCCTGTTCCCTCGCTTCGGTCCCCCTCCGGGCGGCCTTGGGGCCCTCTCGGGCTGTCCTTGGCGCCCGCGGCCGCGCCGAAACAGTTCGGGGCGTTCTCGGGTCGCTCTTGGGGAACCGCTCGGGCAACCTTCGGGCGGCAGCGGGGGCGCCTTCTGGGCCGTCTTGGGGCGTCGTGACCACGAATGAGCGAGAAACCAAAAAACGCAACCACAAAATTAAAGACAATTGACGATTTCTGCCTCGGGGCGCCTTCGTGGGGCTCCTTTTCGGACGGTCTTGGGCCGCCGGGGGGCCTTTTTGGGCCCGCCGTGGGCGTTTTGGCGCGCCATGGGGGCAGAGGCAATCGGCGCGCGGGCGCGGGGCCCCCCCGCGCCGCCGAGCCGCCCGGAATCGTTTTGGGGGCCCACGCCCCCGCAGGGAGAAGAGGGGCCCTGGGCGAGGGGCCCGCTCTCGCCCCCCAGGATAAGTACGTGCATATGAATATATACATTTGTAAAAATAAACTCTCTTCCCCCCCAGAAAAAAAAAACTACTCCTCCGCCCGCGGGATAATCGCCCCCCTTTTCGCATTGTAATTTGCGCATGATTATGCCTCACAGTCAATAAACATATGAACTCGCACCATTCCAAGTGGCCGGCGTCGCCCCCCCCCGCCGCCCCCCCCAGAAAATGCCAGGCGCGAGCGCTCGTTTATCAACGATCATCAATTTTCAAGATCCTCTTGGAAAATAAACGCAAGCGAAGTGCACGTGCGCGCGTCGTCGCGCGCGCGCCGAAATCCTTCAACAACCTGAGGCGTCGTGAGGATTTCAGCATCGAGTGTCCAATAAACACCAGGTTTCGGAACGCCGACTCCCAGACAAAACTTGCGCGCGGTCTCTGACGAGTTCTTAAGAAACCAATTTCCCCCAGACGTGTTCGCAACATGGGCTTTGCGCGCGCATGTTGGAATCGTTCGAACGTCCTTGCGCGCGTGCTGGGGTGGCGCGGTCCGTGTCCAATGATATCGCGCGCGCCACTCTCACGCGCGCGTCTGCCGCGCGCGCATGTCGAACGCCTTTCAAAACCGTCGTCACCGACGCAAAGGCGCCGTCGTCGTCGTCGGCGTGATCAGCATCGGCGCTGTCCCTGGCTGCCCCGTCGTCGCTGTCGCCATCGTTGTCAGCATTGCTATAGTTATTATCGTGTCTACCGTTGTCGACGCTGCCAACATCGCCGACTCGCACCGAATTGCCCGCTGGGATTTGCCGAGCGGCCAACGCCATTGCGTTCGCGTCGGTCGCGCCGCACTAGCCGGCCGCTGCGCGCGCGAGCATGCGCGGGCAAGCAAGTGCGGCCGCAGAGATGCACCAGCCAACGCCGAACACTCATCGCAATCGCTTCCGCGCGGGTTTTGCAAACCAAGATGCGGGTGGGCGGGCGGAGCGATTTCGCGAGCAGTGAAGTCGACAACTTCAAGTTCGGCAAGGCGCAGTGCACCGCATAGATTGCACGCCGAAACTAGCGCCATATAGATTGCACAATATATACTGCTCCACGCAGATGGGATCGCATCTGATGCTCCGCATCGGATGCGCAGCGTAGATAGCGCCAGTACATACTCCTTTCAAATTGAAGAAGAAATCGGTTCTACCACCCACCCACCCTAGACTTCACTGGGAATCGATGTAAAACGCATATGGTTCTGACCCAATGTCCATCCTACCTGTGAGTTCGCACTCTCCCAGCCAAGCCGGCGTCGCCCCCCCGCCATCCTGTGCGCAAAACTACTATGCGCGCACTCGTTTATCAAGCATCATAAGTTTTCAGAGATCCCTTGCAACAGATTAGAAAAAGTGCACGCGCGCGCCGTCGCGCGCGCATGCAAAAACCCTCCAAACACCTTATGTGTCAAAAGGATTTCAAAATCGGCTGTCCACACAGTCATATTCAAAAACGCAAGGTCTCGCAACGCTGATTTCAAACAGACAACAAAAACATGCGCGCGCTCTTGCGAATTCCTGAGACAAACATCAATGTTTCAACATGTTCGTAACATGCTACTAGGTGGCTTCGCGCGCTGCATGTCGAAATCGTTCGAACGCCCTTGCGCTCCTGCCGTCGCGAGAACCCTCTGCAACACATGAAGCGAAGTGCACGCGCGCGCGTCGCGCGCATGCCGAGATCCTTCTAAAACTTCGGTTTAGAAAGGAAATCAAACTCGAATGCCCGAAAAACAGAAACAACTCAGGGTCTAGCAAAACGGCTTGTTCACGCAAAAAACGCGCGCCTGCTCTTGCGAATTCTTACGAAAACCAGCAATTTTCAACCAATAAGATGCTACCAAACGGGCATCGCGCGCGCGTGTCGAAATCGTTCGAACGCCCTTGCACGCGTGCTAGGGTGGCACGATCCGTGTCAAATCATACCATGCGTGCCACTCTCGCGCGTCTGCCGCGCGCGCGTCGAAC